GATCATGACCTGAGCCGAAGGCAGTTGCTTAACCAACTGAGCCACCCAGGCGCCCCGAGGATGTGACTCTTAATCTCAGAGTTGTGAGTTCAAGCCCCACCTTGGGCGTGGAGCCTACTTTTAAAAATAAAAAAAAAATTTCAGCCCCCAAACTCATGTGTATTTGGGAACAGAGCCTTCCGGAGGTAATTAGGTTTAGATGAGGTCATGAAGTTAGGGCCCTCAGAAGTACCTGTGAGACAGACACCAATGTGTTTGAATGGGAAAACTGAGAATTAAAGAATTTAGCACCTTACGCCAAATCACACAAACATGAAGCAGAACGGACATAAAAAGCTAGTACTAGCTTCGCGCGGTGGCAGCAGCGTAGCCAATGCGGTTTATCCGAGGAGCGATTACTGCTAACTGAAAAAGCTAGGGCTAACATGATTTCATGCGCGTGCAAACGCACGTGTACACTCGCTGATACGCACACACATTCTAAGTGTTCACTGCACGGTTTTAACTCGTCGATCTATTCATGGCGGGTGAACCATTTTGCTATTCTTTCGACTTTTCTGTACGCTTAAATTCAGCACAAAAAGCTGGGAAATGGAACACCCCAATACACACACCCAAGGGTCTCCCTGCGGCTCCTCGCATTCCAATCCCACACACCTCTCCCACGAACACCCTGCACTTTGCTCTCGCACCCATTCACAGCCCCCACAGGGATCATCGGCCCCTCGGATGCTCACACTCGGACCCTAGGAACCTCAGGTGACCCCCAATCCTTCCCTCACCGACCAGACCCCGACGGGCTCCTCGGTCAGTGGCTCTCCCAACGCCTCCATCTACGGCCCGGGGCACGACCCGGAGCCCATCTGTCGCTGTCAGTAGGAATTGTCTTTCGTTCTAAACGCTAATGCCAGCCCAAGCTTCCGCCAACGCCCCTGACAACCCCGAAGCCCCCCGAAACAGTAACCCCCCACGAGTACCCACCACGAACCGCATCTCAAGTCGCAAAATTCCCACAGTGCGGGGCTCTGAAAGCGTCTAGCAGAAACCCAACTAACCTCGACCGCGAATCTGTGACCTCACGCCGTGGGAACCCAAGCTTCGGTACGCCACTTCCGCTTCCGCTCATCTGGTTTGGGGCCCGTGTCTCGGAATCAGCGGCACTTTGGAGTCAACAATCAATCCACAAACCCTCATTCTGGCCCTGGTTAGGATTTTATCGCTGGGCAACATCGCTGCGTCGATTTCGTTGCGATGCGGTGGTAGCGGCCATTGTGGGCCGTGCGCCGCCATCTTGGATCGTGCGCCGTACGGAGAGCGAGATGGCCACCCTAGGCGACCGGAGCTGGCCGGCCAGACCAGGAAGGTGCAAATGCTACCCATCCTTTCTCTTCTTTTCAAGACTTATCTCCGGTCCTTCCACCTTGGCAGCGCCTGTCAGTGCCGTCGCGCATGCTTAGTAGGACTTCATCGCTCTCGCCTAGTCTTCGACCTGAGCGGAGCGCTAAGCCAATCACAGACCAGGCCTGAGCCGGAAATGGTTGCGCCCGCTCGGTCTCGTCGCCCTGTGGACGCCGCTCGGTGGGCGCAGCCATATTGGGAAGGTCTGGGTCCGTACAGCGAAGAGCGGACCTGGGGGCAGGGAACTGGGGGCGGCGAGGACGCTGGAGGCACATTTGAAGAAAACGGGGATTAGGAGAGTAGAAGTGGATCTAAAGAAGCAGAGGCGACATGAGGATGTGTGCGTCGTGACCGGAAACGGTTGTGGACCAGATACTGGCAACCGCGATCCACGCCAAAAGAACATTACTTGGATCTCGCGTCCCAAGATAAACTGGGCACTTTAAAGAAGGATCCTGTATATCCTCGTTAGTCACAGCCCGCCCGGTCATCTGTTTTTCTGAATACTGTGTAGATAATGATCCCAGCTGCATTATTTAGTCGATTTCCCCACTGCTAGGTCGAACCATCTCTATCCTATCCTCAGTGTCCCCATCTGCATGGCTCTGATTTCGGACGTTCTGTTCCATTGTTCTCTTGTTTATCCCTGCGCCAGCACCATGTTTTAGCCACGGGAGCTTTCTGAGTCTTACAGTCTGATAAGGCAAGGCCTCCTGCCATAGTCTTTTTCTACAAGTCTCTGTTCTTTAGGCCCTTTATATTTTCAAATAAAATTTTAACTCACCTTGTCAGCTTCCACCAAAAGAAAAAAAGTGTTCGGGATTTTTATTGGTACTGCATTGAATCCATAAATCCTTTAAGTGACATCTCTACAATAATAAGTCTTAAAATTCATGAACACTGTGTATCACTCCACTTAGTTAAATCTTTAATGTCTCTGAATAAAGTTCTGAATAATGTTTCTTACAGTAGTCTTATACGTTTTTATTAGGGTCATTTCATGATACCTGAAATTTTTAATGCTCTTTAAATGATATTTTACAATTTCATTGTCTAACTCTCTGTTGGTATATAGAAATACAATCGATTTGTATATTGATATTATACCAAGCAAAATTGATAAACTGTCTTATTAATTCTAATCGTTTTTGTGACTATTGTGTTGTAAATTTTTGAAACTTCATATTTTCCCACTGCCTCAATATCCCCATAAACAGGCCTAGAGTACACCAATCAGGCAACCAGGTGTATCCCTGTAATAGCGTTCGCCCCTGCACAAGTTCCTTTTCCTACCCTTCCGTGTGACCTAGTTTCACACGGAAATATTCTCCAGTCTTTTCTTGTGTACTCCCCCAATAGGGCACTTCTAATAGGGGGTACTTCCTGACCCTCAATAAGGGCATTTACTCATGGATCCTTGCTCTCACTTCATTTCCTTGGTTGAGACTGATCCCCTGGCACTCCTTCCTGAGCAACCTCCTCTCAGCAAGCAATGACTCAGGACGTGTGAGTATAATAAACTTTTTTTCCTGCAACTCTCCTGCGTCCCCTCTCCTGGCTGCAGCTGGCTGACAATCACCTAAAGGAACATAAAGCAGTTATTCTAGATTTTTACAAAAAGTCATATTCTCTTTTTTTTTTTTTAATTTGACAGAGAGAGAGAGAGAGCCAGAGGGCACAAGCTGGGGGGAATGGCAGAGGGAAAGGGAGAGAAGCAGGCTTCCCACCAAGCAGGGAGCTGGATCATGACCTGAGTCGAGGCAGACGCCCAACCGACTAAGCCACCCAGGTGCCCCCATATTTTCTTTAAATAGTGAGTTTCCCCCACTCTTTTCCATATTTATTTATTTATTTTTTTTAAATATTTATTTGACAGAGAGAGACAGTGAGAGAGGGAACACAAGCAGGGGGAGTGGGAGAGGGAGAAGCAGGCTCCCCACTGATCAGGGAGCCCGACACAGGGATTCCATCCCAGGACCCTGGGATCACGATCTGAGCCGGAGGCACATGGTTAACAACTGAGCCACCCAGGCGCCCCCCTTTTTTTCCCTTTTGCACTGGATGAGACCTCCAGTCTGATGTTGAAAGGGAGTGATGAAGCAGCATTGTCTTCTTCCTGATTTCAAAGTTTCTCCTTTAAGTATGATGTTTACCAAAGATTTTTGTAAACTCCCTTTATCAAATTAAGCCTTGCCCATGTGATTAAATCTCCATAAAAATAAATCCATAAACAGGGTGCCTCAGTCAGTAGAGCATACAACTCTTGATTTCAGGGTAGTGAGTTCAAGCCCTACATTGGGTGTAGAGCTTACTTTAAAAAAAAAATCCATAAACTGGGGCGCCTGGGTGGCTCAGTTGGTTAAGCGACTGCCTTCGGCTCAGGTCATGATCCTGGAGTCCTGGGATCGAGTCCCGCATCGGGCTCCCT